CTAATTAAGTAAGGAGTCTTAGTGTCTGCCTGACTATATTTGATCATGCAGGAGATCTGATGAGGGTTTGATATGAGAACTGAGGGTGGGATTCCCTGAGTCTATAAAGACGGCAGGAGGCTGAAGCTGAGCACTGGGTGTTTAATCAGCATGGAGCTTTGAGGAGGGTCTCAGGAGACATAAGGGAGAAGCTGTGTGTCTCCCTGTGTGTAGGAATCTACTGGAGGAGATCTTCTGGTTAGACAGTCATTTCCATCTCGGTCTGGTCTTAGTCCTTGACTCCTCTCCTAATGATGCTCTCCACCAGCTCTGCTTACTGAAGACCTCAAAGACTGTATGGAATCCACTGTTGATCATGGAGGGAAGTAGCCCGGACTGAAAAATGGTATCAGGGAACTATGGTTAACTATGACCAGGGATATGTAATTCACAGCTGGCTTTCTTTCTCATCTTATTAAAAAAGCCTGACTTCAACTATATGGGAATAATGGTAGAAAGACAACTTAGATATAATTCTGGGTTACTAGTGTTCATTACAAAGTGATATGCTTCAATATTAATGACAAGTCTTCAGTTTACAGTTTGGTTGTTGTACAGCACTGTGTTGGGTGCCTGCTTAAAAATAGTGCTTGCTTGATTTTGTTATATGATGAAAAATATATATGAAAAATAATTATTTTTCACTATGATGAAAAATAACTTGAAAATTATTTTCTTGATAGGACTTAAAGTATAGAATGTTTTACTCTATAATGTAGACCGTGTTCCTGAGTGCAGAGGGATCAGGATGAGGAGGTATCAGTTCTAGCGGTGTTTACTGCCGCTTCCTTTTCATGGCCCTAGACAAACTGTTCTTTACTTCTCTGCATTTCACATATCTTCAATGTAACCACTGCCAAGAATCTACAAACCTCACCCAGTATGTATGAAGAAAGTCAAGGGAGCCAAGTTGAGCAAAGGAGAGGTCTTGACTTTAAAAGCAGTTAAAAGGATGCCTTCACAGAGAAGATGGTAAAACTGAATCTCATCCCTAGACTGTCCCTTCCTGTCAGCTTGGTTTCATTGTGTTTGACCTAGATCTAAGGTAACAGAGTTGTAACCACTGGGAGACTGAAGGTCATCTCTATCTGCCCTTTTACATTTTAGCAGGTTCCCTTTTGTAATCCTGTAAGTGCTTTATCTTTGGACCCTTAATACCTGGCATGGAATTTACAAGACATCTTATCAACATTTGTTATAATCTTTGTTGGTGCAAGTGAAAATATCACTAATAAGATTTCACAATACATTGACCTTAAATTATATGACAGCCCTGGTGGCACAGACAGCATTGTAGTAGCGTAAAACCAGACATGTAAAGCAATGGAACAGAATGGAGAACCCCAAATAAACTCATATAGGTATAACCACCTAATATTTGGCCAAAGTGTCAAAGTGTCTACAGAGAGTAAGGGACAGACAGCCTGTGCAACAAATTGTTCTGACAGGACTGAGAGTCAGCCCGTCGAAAGGTAACGTCACATCCCTGTCTCTCACTCTGCACAAAGAAATATTTAAAAACATATATCAGCTTTTAATTTAAAATCTGAAGTAGTAAAATTGTTAGGGGAAAATGGAATCTATGTCAAGATGCAAGTGTGTTTGAACTCTGTGAACACTGCTCCAAATGCACAGGAAAGCTCCCAGATAACCAACTGGTGGGAATACACAGAACTGAAAAGTTCCTCATAGCATAGGGAATGGATAGGCTACAGAACGGAAGCAACCATTTTGCAGATGTGCTTCAGACAGGGCATTAATACCTAGAATGTGTAAAGACTGGCAGTCAATCCCCAAACTGCTGAATGGGCTAATGAAATAAATAGACAGTTCTCAAACAGGAAACCCAGGTGGTCAGTGAGTATTTTTTAAAGTGTCCCTGGGGCTGGGAAGATGTCTCAGTACAGTGCCTGTCACACAAGCCTGAGAACCACAGTTCAGACTCCCAGCACACACACACAGAAGTCTAGAAGGTCAAGTGTAGGCTTAGGTTTTTCAAAAGGTTCTTAAATGTATTAACCTCTCTTTTAGCCCACCATCCACTAGAGTTGGTGGAAAAGAATGGTTACTAGAGCAAAAGAAGATGTGGGCCTGTTTAGAAATATTTCTTTGGAGCAAATCTAATCTGCATTGTTAGGATATCAGCTGTTTAGTTTATTTGAATCAGCAGTAGCAGCTCCATTCTCTGGCAAACACCACTCACGAATCAGCAACAGCAGGCCATCCAGAAGAAACTTCAAGGCTCTGCCAATCTTTCTGACTCCATGGAAGCCACAAGAAGCAGCCAGTGCCCGAATCTGGAGAAATGACAAGAAACCCCCAGAACACCACCAGAAGATTTTTTATTTGTTCCTCTCTATGAAGTCTGTAGTGTGAAATTATTAAAAATCAATCCACGCTATTGCCAACTAGGCACTGGTCAGTGGTCTTGGTCTGTTCCCAGCTTGGTACAGAGCCAGAGACTGAGACCGCATGTTTCCCCTAGGCAATGCCTCTCCTACCAATGCTGGCTCTGCCTCTCCAGGACTCCGAGATCACTTTCTTGGTCCCCCTGGCCAGCTGCTGCCAAACCGCTCTGCACTCCAAAATTTCCACAGCTAGCTGGGGTGGGGGGCATCCTCTCTCCAACCCATGCTCCACTGCAGTTACCTTTCCTCTGGAGCTCAGTTCTTGCCCAATCTTCCTGTCCCAAAGCCTGGCCAAATTACACCCCAGCTATGTTCTTTCCCTCTGGCCCACCTGAGAGGTCGAGAAATGGAAAACATCAAACAATCTTAGTTTAAAAATCAACAGATACGATACCACAACTGCTGTGTGAAGAATCAATCATCCTAAATTCATCAACTATTCTATGTTAGAAATCTCCTGGTGGTGGATTCTGGTAGATTCCGCCACCAGATCTAACAGTTCCTGGTCTACATGGTGCCCCCTTTTGCTCCTGCCTCACCATTTCTTCCCCTGTGTTCTCTCTTCCTCTCTTGGACCCAGAAGGCCTACCTCCTCCTCACACAGTGATCAGCTTCTTGTCGTCTTTATTATCCAATCTTTTAATTAAGGGAAAATTCTACTTCAGAAGTCATAGCAAACGATGACCAACAAAGAATAGCAAGGTGAACAAATATCATCTAGTGTCGTCAGCAAAGACATCAAAGCCCAAGGATGACCAGCAAAGAATGGCACGGTGAATCATTACTACCCAGTATCATCCACTGTCTGGTGGACTGTATTTATATCCTTTCCAAACATCACATGTTCTCTCAAGCATCTGCTCTAGCAGAGCATCACATGCCCCTCTTCTAGGCTGTTTCCAGAAAGGCACCACATGTCTGTTCTTAGCAAAACATCCTCCCACGTGTCTGCTTCAGCAACAACATCCTCTTGTAAGACAGTTGCCAGAAAAACATCACATGACACAACTGAGTCAACAACAAAGAAACCAGAAATTTCCACTTCAGTCAAGTGCATCTTTACCCCTGGCACTAGGAGAGTGTGCAAGCAGATCTTCAAGGCTTGCTGGTCAGTTATGCCAACCAGTTAATGAGCTCTGGGTTTCATTAAACACCTCTTCTCAAACTGTAAGGCAGAGAGTGGTAGAAGAAGACATCTAACATCAACCTTTGACTTCTCTGTGTATGCACATACAATCAAATATACACATAGAATTTGAAAAAAGGAAATCAACATTCCATACCCTTAGCTATCAAGGAAATACGAATTAAAATTGCTTTGAGGGGCTGGGAGATGGCTTCATTGGTAAGATCACTTGCTAACCAGCATGAGGACTTGGGTTCAAATCTGCTGTACTTGTGTAAAAAGCCAGACATGGCTCTGTGTGACTGTAATTAAGAACACACCCAGTGTCTCCTCTCTGGCCTCGCATACGCACACACACAAGCTTAAAACTACACTGATGGGCATGCATCACACAGACAGACACAGACACTCTGTGCCGAGATTCCAGCTTACCTCAGTCAGAATGCATATTATCAAGAAAACAGGTGACAACAAATGCGTGCAAGGATGTGTGGAAAGAGGAGCCCATATTCACTGCTGGTGAGAGAGAATGGTAGTGCAGACGTTATGGGATTAGTGTGAAGTTTATCCAAAAACTCAAAGTAGAATGACCGCAGAACCAACATCCCAAAGGACTCGGAATCCTATCACACAGAGATTCGCCCAACCATGTTTACTGATGAATTATTCAGAATGTCAGGGAAATGGGGACATCACACATGTTCGTTGCCATGTGAATGGATAAGAAAAATGTTGTATATGTACACAATGAAATTTGATTCAGCTGTTAAAAAAAATGGAGATATAAAGTTTCCAGGAAAATGGGTAGATCTGGAAAATATTATAGCAAGCACTGGGACCCAGACTCAGAAGGACACGTGCTGTATGTTCTCTTTCCTGTGGATCCAAGTCTTTAATCTATGTGGCTGTGAACATTAGTGTGAGCTATGAAGACGGAAAGGAAGCACAAAAGGAGAAAAGAGTGTGGAGGACGTGGGAGGGGCTGAACACCTGTGACGGGAAAGCAGAAAGGCGGCTGGAGTTGAGGACGATCCACAGAAACAAAGTTAGTTTGAAAATGCCATAGTGCAGCCTAACGCTTTGTGTGCTGGTTTAAAAAAAAGATGTTAGCACTGAGGCTGACACAGAGGGACTCATTCAACTAATTGTTAGGTGCTATTAATAGTAATATAACTATAATATCAACATGTTAATATTTGATCAGCATATCGAAGCCAATATAAATATATTAATATGAACATAGACCTTAAAATTCATGTTAATGTTTAATCTATACATTACAGTTAATATCTTGATAATAGCCTTGATGCCTTCCTGTTATGTAAAACATCAAATATTAATTTTATTAAAATAATATTACATTAAAAAAAACTCAGCACTTAAATGTCACTAGTGATTTTTCCTCATGGCCTCTTTTCTCAAACCAGGTTTGCATCTGCCGGCGATGATGGGATTATAGTTGTGTGGAATGCCCAGGTAAGTACCCATTAAACCTGGGCTGTAATGAGTGCATGGCGCTATGGTTGAAAACTCACTCACTACTGTGTGGTACTCAGTATGTTTGCTTATTATTATCCTGTGGAATTGGTTAATACATGGGAAGGGTTAGAGATATTCATTTGCAATAGGGACTAGTATTTCATAATATTTTAAGTGTATGCAGGTTTGTGTGTGTGTCTCTGTGTGTGTGTGTGTGTGTGTGCACCTGCAGAGGCTAAAAGAGGTCTGGGCCCCAGGAGCTGGAGTTAGGAGAATAGTGGGTCTCCTGATATGGGTCCTCTGCAAGAGCAGCAAGTGTGTTTAGCCACCGTACTATCTCTGTAGCCTCAGAAGGTTTTGGGTAGTCAGCTACTATGCAGTGACATAAAAAAATGAATTGTTAGTTTTCATAAGATGGTACAGTGTTTCATTCAACTTTATATGATAGCATAATAAAAATTCCTCTCATGTTTGTGGTCTTTGTTGTGCAGGTTGCTCTGTTTTTATTTTTCCCTCCTTGCTCCTTCATCCTGGTTGTCTGAGCTCACCTTCCGTCCTCATTTTCCTGTGGTCTTGTTTAGATCCAGCCATCTTTTAACCCCAAAGTATCCACGGGTGGCTCTGGTCCTCCTCAACCTCACACTGAGTGCTCATGTGTTCATGTGAAATTTTTGCATATACTCTCCTCACATTTTCCCATGTACTTAAAGTTTTCTGTAGAGTATATGTCATACTTTACACAATGCAAATGTTGCAGGGAATAACGACAAAGTCTTTTCATGTTCAGTACAGTTTGTTTCTTTCCATGGTTGATTGATTGGTTGGTTGGTTGATTGAGACGGTCTGGCCCAGACTACTTCAGCATATTGAAGTCTGGGATTACAGATGTAATTTTAGTCTAAGATTGGTTGAGTTAGGCCAGTCATCATGGCACATGCCTGTAATCCTAGAGCTGAAGTCAGGTGGATCAGGTGGTCCAGGCTAGCCTTAGCTTCATAATAAATTTGAGGCAAACCTGGACTGTATTATTATTTCCAAATAAACAAAAAGTGAAATCAATTGAATCCATCTTCTAAAAATGGTGGATGCAGAAGGCTAGCTGTACTGTAAACACATTCTTGAAATCCTGCAGACTTGGGAAGATTGAAATGTATAGGTATTGTGTGTTTCTGCTTGGGAGGTGAGAAAGAGACTGAAGGAGGAGGACGAGTGGGTGGGAGAAGGGGCTGGGTTGAGTGTGCCTGCAGACCACTGTGCTTTCATTTGCTCTGCACCTATAGCTGCAGAGGTTAGACATATGTGCATGCGTCTGTTTCCTGTCTACAGACTAAACTGTTGCTATTGTTGCAGAGCTTACATGATTCCCAAGAATCACAGAAAAGTATGTTTCTTTAAATTGACAATGAAAATATCCTAAAATAGCATACTGACCAAAAAATAGCCAGAATTATTCACAGCCATTTTTAATACTTGATTAGATTATATTTATTTGATTGTTTAAAAATTTTTAAATTCCAGACACATCATTTGAAATGGCATATGTTTATTTTCTACATGGCTATTCTTAATGGTACTTAAGGCTCTTCAGGCTGGAAAGCATAAGTTTGTTGACTTTCCTGCTTGTGTTTCAGACAGGAGAAAAACTTCTGGAACTCAGAGGACACACTCAGAAGATAACGGCTGTCATCGTGTTTCCTCCCCTAGATTCTTGTGAGGCCGGCAGTCAGCTCCTCTTGACAGCCTCAGCTGACCGGACTGTCGGTATATCCTTAACCTGAGACCCAGCAGCCGTGTGGGGCTGTGCATCCTGATGGCAAAGTGATTTATCCAAGTCTCTCTGAGCTGCTTCCTGAAGTGTTAGGTGACAGCAGGGACAGCTTGGGGCTTGCAGTGAACCCCATGGCAGGTGACAGCAGGAACAGCTTGGGGCTTGCAGTGAACCCCATGACAGATGACAGCAGGAACAGGTCAGGGCTGTAGTGAACCCCATGACAGGTGACAGCAGGAACAGGTCAGGGCTTGTAGTGAACTCCATGACAGAAGCAGCTCTTTCCAGAGTGTTCATTATATCAGGCTGTGCAAAAAGACAGGGTGGAAGTATGTGAACTTAAAACGTTATCTCGTTAGGGAAATTAGGATGAGTTGGACTGGAAAATAATCAATTCCCCTTCATGTATGGCAAGACACTTAATCCACCCCTCCCCTGAGAACCTGCGCTGCTGCTGAGTGGGTCTGCACAAAAGAGCAGTCTTCTCCACTCAGTATTTAAAACTTGGTATTTTAAAAGTCTTAAAGTGAATTTACTTTTGCTTTCCCATACTTTCTGGTTAGAATTTATAAGACCATAGAAATGGTGATGTTCCGTAATGTGCTCGTATGTTAGGGGTTCTTGTTCTTACACGAGGTCAGTAGCCTGAAGCTGTGTACAATGGCCTTCTGATAAAATAGATCAAATAGCATAAAACAGAAGCTTTACAAGGAGTTGCATTGTGGAGCCGTGGCCAAGCGCTGTGTGTAGGTCTGCAGTCAGCTATGACAAGTCTGTTTTAGCTGTGTTACGTTGGAAGTAAACCCAGGGGAGGAATGGGTTCGTAGACCTCTCTAGAACCAGGACTGACTTATGTCCCACTTGGAATGAGTTCATCAGCTGAAACAGTGTTTAGATAAATTGTCTGCAGGTAAGAACAGCTCCAGAAGACATTTCAAAAGGCTAACCTGTGTGCGCTGGTGTAGGATTTGGTCAGATGTTCACCAGAGTAGCCTTACTTCTGCTGCTTTTTTAGGGAAAATTTTATTTTATCCATTCAAGGTCTTGTCTTTTTCTCTTTGTTATAATTTCTGCAGAAGTAGAATTTAAAACACAGTGTCTGTTTAAGCAATGCTGTTGCTAGGATGCTGTATCAATCAGTATTAGAGACAGTTGAGACTGTGAGTGAGGTGGTGTTAGAACTGAGAAGCTGAAGGCCAGAAAGCGTTGTCTAATATCGAGAAGGCTTTTTTATGACGGAGTAGTTTGTTGAGTGTAACACAAGCATAGGAATACATAGGCATCTCCATTTTTTATAATTAACTACATGTAAAGAGTAACATAGAATTAAAAATAATCAGATAAGATTAATAAACTATGAAACTAACTTTAAAATGTTAATGTAAAATACATATCAGACATGATAGTGTATTTGCCATCCATTTATTACTTACATTTCCGAGTATATGGTATGATATTTCCATGTATATGGCATGAAATGTAACACCATAGGAAACTGTGTTAAAAGCTCCGTAAGTCAAACTAAAACCCCTGTCCCATGTGACAGTACATGCAGAGTCACAGAGACACACAGTTACTGTTGTAACATATACATATAATCATGCATGTACACTGCAGCAAACTCTCAGAAACTGTTGGGAGATGTGGTGGTTCTCAGTATAAAACATTATGTGTGTCCACCTTTATTCCATTGTGATAAACTGTTCCCACGAGGACATTTAAGCAGATTTGGTGGTTAATGCCCATGAAGATGAGTACTCCAGGGCACTCACTCTCGTGGGCCTCTTTAAATGGCCTCGCAGTAACATTGTAGCTGGTAGAAGTGCCCCTGAAGAGATGACTTGCTGTGCAGATCTATGAACGTCAGCTGGCTCAGACTTTACTTAAGGATTTCCTGATTGTTTATACTTGCGGTTCAATTGTTAATTCAAAATGTTATCTCACACTTAAAGTTTTAAAATTCTATTTGGACATTATTTCTTAACATAATGATAAGTTTGGGATTGTGACACCGGCCAACAAATCCAGAGAGTCACATGCTTCCAGTCTACTGTAAAGGTAAAATCGTCAGTAAATCAGGTTCCTCTGGTAGTATTTTTGTTGATGTTCTCAAAATGGCTTGGATGAAATTATTTCTTTAGGTCTTACAAACCATTGTTTTCACACACACACACAACCATTTGAGTTTAAGACAAGGTTTTTGGGATCCTATGTGTTGGAGTGTGAGCAGACAGGTCTAGTGGGCTCACAGCAGGGCCTGCTAAGAGACACAGCATGTACAGAGCAGGAACAGGAGCTCTTCTGTTTTTATGCTTTGACCAAAACACAGGCAGGCCTTTGTCCCTTGCCTGCCGCCTTCTGGAAGGCCTCGAGGACACATCAGTTTCTTGTTTCTAAAACAAAACATTTGAATGATGATGCCATTGATTTCATCTTTTTATAAGCAGATATTGATTGAGACTTTTATGGCAAGGATAAAAAGACTTTGGAAAATGTAGTGATAACACGCTAAGTATTTAAGATAGTATACTATCTTCAACAAAATATTAACAAACTACAGCTAGCAACATAGAGAAAGGAAGATACAACACAACCCAGGGAGGTCCCAGGAATGCGACTTCAGTGGAATATCTGAAAGTCAGTCAATGGCCAGAGCCCAGGCCAGTAACCATGTGACTGTTTCACCAGAGGCAGAGAAAGCGGTTAACCAACTCCAACATTCTCTCCCCATGTAGATATTTTACACTCACAGGTGACCCAGAAAGGTCACTTAATGAAAATCCAGTGACCGAATATTGAAAACAGCAGACTGTTCTCCGTATGGTCAGGAATAAAATAGAAATCTGTACTCCCAGCATGCATCTGTTTAGCTTGCACTGAAGGATCTGGACAGCAAAATCAGACAATAGAAAAGAAAAGAGTGATTATTTCATAAATTTTTTATGAAAAAGAAGAACTAAACTTTCTGTATTTATGCATGACACGACCTTATTGTAGAAAATCATACACCCACACAAAACTTTTAAGGCCAATAAATTAACTTAGCAAGGTTTCAGGGTACATGATTGGCAATACAAAAGTCAATTGTGATTTTAAAATCAAATTGAGAAAATTCTATTCATAGTTACATTCAAAAGAATAAAATACTTAGAAATAAATTGTCTTTAAAAGTAGGGGATTTATACATTAAAATCTTTAAAACACTGTTCAATGAATTTTACGAATAAGTAAATGAATTTAAAAACTAGGGGCTGGAAGAGCTGGCTCAGCAGTTAAGAGCACCTGTTGTTCTTGCAGAGGACTCGGGTTTGATTCCCAGCACCCACATGCTGACTCACAATCATTGCAACTGCAGTTCCCGAGGATGCAAGGCTCCTGTGGGTACCAAGCATGCACTCAGTGTGCGTGCTTACCTGCAGGCAAGATGCTCATACAAACACATAAGTCAAGAAAGAGTTGTTAACTGAAAAACTATCATTCGTTCATGGGTTAGATGTAATACTGAGATTTAAACTCTTCTCAAAATGACCTACAGATGGAATATCAATCACAAAATTTAAAAAAGAAATCTGAATTTTTGTTTCAGAAAGGAACAAACTAACCTGAAACTTGAAGTGTAAAGGATTCAGAATCGCCATAACAGTTCTGGAAAGAAATCATAGAGATTTCTAATTCCTAATTCTAAAACTTCCTTACTGATGTAGTATCAAGATAGTGGGGTAGTGGCACAATGACATAGAAACACATCAGTGGAGTAGAACTGAAGATCCAAAAATAAAATCTCACACATATACACAGTCAATTTACAAGGGAGCCGACAACTTTCAGTGGAAGAAAGAATAGGTGTTTTTTTTTTAATGAGGTCTGCTAGGTGTGGTATTCATATCTGGACTTCCTGCTATGGAAGGCTGAGGTAGAAGAATCATTTGAATCCATGAGTTCAAGATCAGCCTGGGCAGCATAGTGCAACCTTGTCTCAAGGAGGGTGAGGAATTCAGCTGAATATATACATATAAAAAGTAATAAATTTAATTGGTAAAAAGTGATAAATTGGGCCTAATTTAATGAAAACTTTTGTTGTTCAAAGAATACTATGGACAAATTGAAAATACAATCCAAAGACTAGGGGAAATATAAATATATATATATATTTACACATACAGTTTATGCATACATATAAATACATATAATATATATAAATATATACACACATATATATGTATATATAAAATTTATCAAGTATGTATGTAAAATGTGCAAAGAACTATTAATATAAAGAAGTATAATTAATAAATTTTAGGAGCTGGAGAGATGCCTCAACAGTTAAGAGCACGGACTGCTTTTCCAGAGGTCCTGAGTTCAATTCCAGGCAAGCACATGGTGGTTCACAACCATCTGTAATAGGATCTGATACCCGCTTCTGGTGTGTCTGAAGACAGCTACAGTGTACTCACATACATTAAATAAATAAATCTTAAGAGAAGAAGAGGAAGAAGAAGAAGGAGGAGAAGAATGTGGAAGAGATTTTCTCCCAAAAGATATATAAATGGGCAATAAACGCATGAGAAAAAGTTTATCATCATTAGCGAGAGACTCAAACCCACGATGGGCTACCGTCCCATACACACTAGCACCACGAAAGCTCCCTGTCGAAAGGACAGGGCTTGAATGTTAATAAATACATGGAAAAGTCATACCGTGGCTTATGTATTGCTAGTGGACTTGTAAAATACTACAGTGACCTTCAAAAAGTTGCCAATCTGGTAAATTGTTAAACAATAACCCTCCTGTGTGTAGTCCCACACCAAGTGAAAACATGCCCACACGTATGTATGTAGTGAATGTCAGACCACCAGCATTCATACTAGCTAAAAACGAGAAATAAATTATCCACCAGCTAGAGAATGGATAAACAAAATGTACGTATCCACATAATAGATTTTCAGTTGGCAATAGATAGAATAAAGGGCTAACGCAGAAGCCCAGAGACTAGACAAGGTAGACTTCTGAAGCACACACTGCATGTGATTGCTTTCAACTTTCTCTCTCACCTGTTTTAAAAGTAGCCTCATCCTGAGCCGAGGCAAGCCCCCCACCCCGCCCCTTTCTAATTCAATCTCTGTCCTTGTTACCACTCAACTTACTGGAGCCAGCTGTGAAGACATGAATCTTGGAGAGAGAGACCCTGAGTTACCACACAAAGGATTCTACTTCCTGGAAAGACTTTAAGTCTATCATGCAGAATTATTAAGACTTAGTTAAAAATAAGTATCATGTTTTTTTGTTTTAGTTTTATAAGGCATTTAAGGATTATGTGGAAGGGTCTCCTGACTGTCCATCCCCAGGAGGCTTGTCTGGGCTGAGACCCTACTCAGAGGCTCAATGTGTCCTGGCACATTACTGCTCTGTAGTGCTCACAGGCCTCAGCTTCTTGCTGTGTGGACAGCTTAAGTGTCACCTTGGGACAGTGATCTAAGAGAACAGGGGAGTCCTAGCATCTTCTTCACCTGCCTTAGAAATCACCTCTTCTCCATGTTCTGTGAGATGGTGGTCACTTCAAGAGCACGTAGTCAGCAAGAAGAAAACCAAACTGCTTTTCAAATGGATGGACGTCAGAGAACTTGGGGACATAAATTAAAACCACAGAACAATGCTAGTCTCTCTTAAACTAATGATCCATTTCAAATGATTTTGCAGTGCTTAGCTGTTCTTCAGAGACTGGATGTTTGGCTCTCAGGTGGTAGTGACTTAGGTGTGTGGAACCGAAAATTGGATCTGCTGTGTAAGACCAGCCACCTTTCTGATACAGGTAAAAACCAACCAAGGTAACTATGAGACACAGCTGATAGACTGTAAAAGACACAGTTGAGTCTTTAAAGAGACATAAGCACAGTATAAAGGTCCATGTGGGATTTCCTTTTTGTTGTTCTGAGGATTGTAGGTAGCCATATTTGATGAGTATTTTCACATGACAAATAACTTAATGAACGTTTACACTCACACGTATCTTATTTATGCTGAGTATTGGGTTTCAGTGTGGTATTTCATACATGGATGCAATGTTTGGATGGTAGCCACCCATCCTGTCACCCTCATTAGCTTTTCCTCCCCAAAGAAGTCACCCTTCCTCCACAAATGGAAGAAAGCATGCAGCATTGAATTCTCACATCTGGCTTATTTTACGTTCGATGGTGATCTTCAGTTTCATCTGCTTTCTTGACAATGATAGGATTTTGCTCTTTGTGGCTGATAACACTCTACTGTGTGGATATGCATATCGCATGATCACTGTGTATATGTGCATGAATATACATATCATGTGATCACTGTATGCATGTGTGTGCATGTGCGTATCACACCGTCTTATCCATTCGTCCTTTGATGGACACGAAGGCTGATTCCATCACCTCCCTCTTTTAATTAGTGTCACAGTGAACTTGGCTGCACATATAGTCCATGATAACCTTTGAGTACTTTCAGTATATGCCCATACCCAAGCTTGGGATAGCAGAATCATGATCACTTAATATTCTACAGTTTTGTGTATTTTTATATACATGTGCACATATATATGTGTTTTGCATGTGTGTATATGTATGTGTGTGTGTGTGTGTGTGTGTGTGTGTGTGTGTGGGCACAGGCTATGACACTTGTATGAAGGTAGAGGACAACTAGTGAGAATCCTTGTCTTCCATGATGTGGATGCTCAGGCCCCAGGCTGGTGGCCAGCACCTTTATGCACTGAGCCATCTGACTGGTCCTTAAGAGAACATTTTCTGCATTTAAAATTCTTCTTGAAGAAGGAATATTTTCATAAGTTTGAGACCAGCCTGGGCTATGAATGAGACATGTAAAACCACTCTCCTGCCTCTTCCACGTCTTTCTCTTATGCTCGCTCATGTTTCTTCCATCTCTTGCACTCAGTCACAAAACACACACCCATGAGGAGGAGAAATCAGTGCAGGCATTGCAATAGTGCTGCTAGGCTGTGACAGGCAGGAAGGAAAGCCAGTGAGTGGGACATCTGCATCTGAATATGACACACATATAGGTAATATATAGCAAAGTGGAAAGATTAACTTTGTTAAACAATTTTTTGTTAATATGCTCCAGTATTCCAACCTTTTAATGCTTGAAGTTATGGTTAGTCTGAGACCATTTTATGATTTAGCTCTGAAAACGTACTCAGTACTGGGTGCTTAACAAGCACAGTATCTTGTCCAGCTACTCAGAAAGCTGACACGGACTGTGGTCGGCCAGTCTGGACAATATAGCAAGACCCTGTCTTTTGAAAACAACAGTCAGAGCAGCCAAACCCCACATACTAACATTCTGCACATAAGTAAGTAGGGTGGTGGTTTGAAGTCTAGTCATCTCAACATCGGTCGTTTTGGAAATGCACTAGTTAGCTGTAACCGTGCTGTTTCAGACCATTTCTTAGCCTTTAGAGGGTGTTGAGATAGGACTGACAGGCTCGGCACAGGAGAGTCACTTCGTCTGTGCTCATATGCAAATGGTCTGACAGTCAGTGTTGCAGGAGCAGATAGATGGACAACTTGGTGTCCTCTGACCTGTTGAGGCTGACGCTGTCTACCTGGAGGTAGTATCCCGTCTCACAGGCTAAAAGCTTGGTCCTCAAGGTAGTTCCCTACCCATCATTTCTTTTGTTGTTGTTTCCTTCCTTCCTTCCTTCCTTCCTTCCTTCCTTCCTTCCTTCCTTCCTTCCTTCCTTCCTTCCTTCCTTTCTCTCTTTCTTCTTTCGATTTTGACACCCTGGTTGTAAATCATGATTTAGTTTGCTAGGGAGACTTACAGAACTCTGAGAAACACATTTGCCCACTTTAGTTTTATTACAAGAGCACCGAAGAAGAAATACAAAGGGCGAGGTGGGAGGACGGGGCACAGAGACTCTGTGTGCTCCCTAAGTGTGCTCCCTGCAGGCACTGTCTTATGTTCAGCTTTACTGAGTCTATCTAAATCCTGGGTTTTTTTTATGGAGGCTTTATTATGTAAATATGGCTAATTAAACCATTTGTTACTAGTGACCAACATTACCTTCTGCCCCTCTCTCCTTGGACATTAAGGGTTAAGGCTGGAAGTGCCAACTTTGCCCTCCTATTTTGTTCCTTCTAGGGGAGCAGTTCTCATCCCAGAGCTACCAGTGACAACCGATGGTCTCATTAGAACACAGTGCTGGGAGATTTAAAGGATTTTAAGAGTTATGTCAACACAAAGGATGGAGGCCTGATAATGTCTTTTCATTACCAGCTTATTCAGTGCTAGGGAACATGCATAGTCTTACATTTACACTGAGGGAGAACCCCAGTTTCATACCTCATTGAGGTCACCATCAAATGGTGGTTGGGGTGCTCATCATAAGGGGTGCCTGCTAATATATGGGAGTGGCTGAGTGTGCCATGTTAGCACTGCTGGAGCAATAGTCAGAGCCTAGCTGTGTGTCCAAAGTGTCTTCCAAAGGTACCAGAAACGTCCTCATAGCCCAGTTTCCCTGTGTGAGCAAGAAAGGAAGTGTTCACATAGCAGGTTTTAACTATGTTTTATGGGAAATGACTAATATGAAATTAAGAAAGTTTTGTTTTTGATGTAAGCCATGATAGGAAATAATTTCCTTGTTTTATCTTTTTTTTCTAAAGGGATCAGCGCTTTGGTTGAAATCCCTGGAAACTGTGTCGCCGCAGCGGTCGGCAGAGAATTGAGTGAGCCCATGTCTATACATGTCTACATAGCTACATGAATACATACATTCAACTGTGTCAGAAAGACGAAATCGGCTTTATTTCAGAGCTGTCTGCCTCTGCCCTAGCTCTAGCCTTTTGGTGTTGTTGAAACTGATACAGGGTAAACCATTCTCAAAGTGTTAGGTCAGACTTCTTCTTCTTGTCACCATATTACAACATTACAGTCTTCTGTTAATTTGATTAAACAATAGATTTCCTGTTCTAAAATCACTCAGCTGCAGTGTTTCCACTCAGAGTTTATTCACATCAAGAAGAGTTCTCGCTGATACTAGCTGGGAGGCTTGCTGACAGCACACGTTGAATGTAAAGGCTATTAGAATTTAATAATCTTGTAGATTCTTTGACAGTTGGCAAATATATTGTCAGAGATGCAGGTAGAAATGTGTCATGACCTATTTTCCAGAGAAGGATGTGAGGAGAAGAAAGACTTGGATAGTTGATTACCAGCACCTGGGAAGGATGTCAGCCCTCAGCACATGCTGTATGAGGCGTGCCCGTCTCTGAGCATCCGTAACTCTGGTTGCAGTGGCTCATCAGAGCATGTGTACAGTGATGTCATCAGAGCATGTGTACAGTG